CACGCTTTGCAGATAAAATCCAAAATTGAGATAACAAGAAATGGGTGCTTCGAAAACTAGAATGAAAATATTTTTCATGAACATGGCGAATTACCAGGGTCGTCAAATGACTTACTAGGTAATAAAATCGGATACTTGGCGGAATAAGAAATGTATGCATGTTTGAGACGGCCTCCCATGCGAAGAATATTTGCATCATCAATGAAAACATTTGATTTTTTAAGTGGTTTGGAAAATTTTAAAGATTCAAGTTCTTCTCGGAAATAAAATTGCTAAGTAAATTTTACCAACAAAATAAGTGCGGAATAAAGTTCATTGTTAGAGAGCGGCCCCGGGATCAGGATGTCTAGCCCTCGGTAATGCGTTAAAAGAAAAGCAGATAAAACCTACTATATTTTGAAAGTGAGAGAAGAGACGAATATTTTTCTAACAACATTCCAATGCAGTTATTATTGGGTGTTAGGGAAAAAAGGGTAGTAGTTTTTTCCTCCTGGATTTCTGGTGGAACATTGAGAGCTGAAATTTAAAAAAGCGGCCAAAATTTCTCAGATTTTCTTAGGAAGGCGGGACAAAGAGCCAAGTTTTATTTTCAAGTAACTCTGAAGGGAAAGCACCTCGAGAAGCTACATCTGCGGAGTTAGTATGGGTGTCTACATAATTCCAAATATCAGGGGGGAAATTGTGTTGCATAAACGAAAAGCGGTGAGCGATAAAGGTCTTTCAGCGATAAGGATCACGTTTTATTCAATGTAAAGCGTTTTGAGAGTCACAACAAGCATAAATACGAGTTAATTTGATAGTTTTGTAAAAGTGGTCTTAAGATATGTTAATATTTTTGTTAGAAGGACGCAACCAGAAAGCTCTAAACGAGGTATCGTTAATCTTTGTATCGGATAAATTTTGGATTTAGAGCATACAAATGCGGTATGTATAGTATTATGTTCATCGAGTATTCGAAAATAAATCACGCAACTGTAACCCTTCTCGGTGGCATTACAAGACCAATGAAGTTCCAACTGGCATGAGGACGAAAAAATTAAGGGTGAAAATAAGCGATAAATTTTGAGCTCAGAGAGGAGGTTTAATTCGCGCTGATATTGAGTCCAAATTCGAATAATAGCCTCGTCAGAGGTTGCATCCCAATTTAATTTAGAAATCCAAAGTTTTTGAATTAAATATTTGCAAAAGAATGTGAATGGTGAGATAACGCCTAAGAGGTCATATATTCTGGCAAGTTCAGATAGCAAGATGAGTTTTGTACACGATCGGTTTGTGATTGGGTTTACCAAAAAGAAAAAGAAATCATCAAGCGGGTCCCATTGAAGACCCAAGCACTTTAATAGTACTAGTTTGCGAGTTGACACAAAATCAAGTGGCTTTTTCGTAAGATCAGAAGCGGAAATATTGTCTAAGATAGACACATTATTACTGGACCATTTATGTAAGCGGAAACCACCGAGTTGCATGAGATAATTTAATTAAAAAACAGTTTGTTTATCAGTTGATAAAGTAGAGCTAGAAAATACAAAACATAACAAAAGTCCTTTATAACCCTGCGGCGAGCGGAAATTTGTTGCCTTCATCTTCAATGAGTTTTGTTAAAACTTTTAAGACAAGATACGGTGCGCTGTTAACACCGTACGTAAGTCGGGGAAGACGATAGTCCTGAATAGGTAAATTTGGTGAAAAGCGCCACAGAATTCGTTGATAATCAGTCACAGTGTTGAGTATTGATACTAAAATCAATCAAAATTATTCTGTACATGTGTTTAATGTCGGTAAAAATAGCGCAGGGACGAAGACGGAAATTTGATAAGATATTCACAATATCTTGTTGCAGTTTTGGTCCAACACAAAATGAACATTAAGGGATTTTTGATTAGGTAAACTTGCGGAGGCATTGAAGACAACCCTAAGTTTAGTCGAGATACTACTAGGTTTGATTTCACAATGATGAGGGATATAATAAGAACTAATAGGAATAAATCGATTAGAAACCTCTTCCATTTGGCCAAGATCCAGGTATTCTTTTAAAAATGCAGAATAGTCTAAGTATAAGCTTTTATTTTTCAATAGACGACGTTCTAAATAGTAAAAGTTGCTTAATGCCAGATCTCTGCTGCCAACAAAAGATGTAGGTAACAGTTTACATTTAAATGGTGAGACGATGTAGCGACCCTCATTGTTACGAGAATGGGTATCAAGAAAATAATTCTCACAGATTTCATAATCGTTAGAAACAATAGATGTTTCAGGTACCTTTTTCCCAAAATATTGATATTTTTTGATCAAGTATCGTACAGTCCGAAGATTGACAAAAAAAGGTTGAGGTAGACAAATTAGCGGGGGATATTTTTCCAAGAACAACATATCCAAATATTGTATTTAGAGCGTCTGGCTCAGGTTGTTTTCCTGAAATATGCCCATTTAAAATTTTCGAAGATACGTCCGCTCCCAACAGTAAGTCTATCGTATCTGGTTTAAAGAAGTTTGGATCAGCAAAATTTAAATTGGACAGGTGTTGCCAATTTGAGATTGTGATAGCGGAATCGGTCACAAATATTATTAACAATAACAGCGTTTAGGTTCAGTCCTATTAAAGGGCTTGCAAATGAACGCAACACGAGCGGTATCAAGAGTGGTTGACATGGAGTCTAGACCCTTTATTTCAATGGAGAAGGCAGATTTAAAATACCTAAGCTATGGGCTGCTTTTTTTGTAATGAAGGAAGTCATTCTTCCCAAGTCCAACCTACAGCGGTATGAGCGAAAATTACCCTTACTATCAGACACATCAATGATAGCAGTGGCTAGAAGAACTTTATGTCGTTGTGATAACTCTCCTTGAGCATAAAGAACGATAGCAGCATTACTTAAGGTATTATTAATATTTGAAAAAGCGGTAGAAGTCAACGGATGAACGGGTATGCGAATTTCTGGCATATGCGGGAGATCGATCAAAATGAAGTAAACTGTGGTGAGTCTTTGATGAGCAATGACGACATTTTGTGTGCTCCGACATGACCTCAAGTCATGAGAGCTACTAAGGCAATTATAACACAAGTGATTCGATTTACAAAATGCATGTCGTTCAGATGGAGCCTTTGGTACACGTAGAGCGAGTACGTGGATAAAAATTTTTCAATTTTTAATTGGAATTAATTTGCGGTAAAACTGCATTTGTAACAATCTCATCAGCGTTGTCATAATGTTCAGATAAAAACTGAAGCAAATCGTTGTAAATAGGCACGATAAATGAACGATGTATCGTGATCCAATCTTTTTAATAGCATCATTGTTAAGACAAAGTCCCACTGTTTTACTGGAAAACCTAAAACTTCGAGAGCAGATAAATTTTCCTTAAATGTATCTACTAATTTGTCTAATACTACTGGTTTATTTTGTTTAATTTTGACAAGAACCAATTTCGTTCCAATGGGCTTCGGCACATTGTCTAGGATTTACATAGCGATTAAGTGTAAAGGTTAAAGAAAAGGTCCTTTATTTCTCACAAGTCAATTTATTGGCGACCGGTTTCGAAGTTGTCACTTCATCATCAGGCACACCTAAATGGAATGTCAAGGAGTCAGTTGTAATAAAAACAATCATAAAAGCATGAACGGACTTTAACATATACAAAATAACAGAAAAAACACAAAAGAAAGTTAAACAATAACCTTGACTCACCTTGACTAATTCCATAAAGGAAGCGCTACAAAAAGTTTAACAGAACGAGTTAAAAAAGTCATGTGTAATAAGTATTTTTAAAAAATTTTTAATGTAGGTTAGGTTAAACCACCAGATGTCTTTTTGAATAAAATAATTAATTAAAACACATTTAAGACAATTATTAACTAAACAACACAAAATAGTTTTACAAGCACAAACAGTTTAAAAATTTTTAAGGAAATAATGTTAATTACTGAAAGTAAAAAGTAAAAATTATCAGACTGTCAAGACATCTATCTAGATTTTTAACGAATCAATGCAGTAAACTGTAAATTTTAAATTAGCGGATAAATAGTGTACTAACGGAGGTGTTATTTACTGAAAGTGAGTATAGGTGGCGATGACAAAATTTATTGAAAGTAAAATATATTAAACTGAGAATGAGAAAGCAAAAAAATTTTTTTATACTAACAAGAAAATTAGAACACTAAACAAGAAAATATGAAAATTCATATGTAAAAAGGGAAATTTGAAGCAGATAATCAAAAAGAAAATTACTGTTATTGTTTTTATTACAACTGACTCCTTGACATTCCATTTAGGTGTGCCTGATGATGAAGTGACAACTTCGAAACCGGTCGCCAATAAATTGACTTGTGAGAAATAAAGGACCTTTTCTTTAACCTTTACACTTAATCCCTACTACTCACATATGGCTACCCTCACTCCAAATTTACATAGCGGTCTAATAAAATATCGTGAGCAATTTGATAATTAGCAGCAATTAAAGGAAGATGACGAATAAGATAATAAGGTTTGCCTTCTAACGACGCAACTAAATAATCAAACATTTCTGTCTGATAAATGCGTTTTATTATGTACCATATTGTTAAAATGGTCCATAAAAGATTGAAAGTTTTTAAAGTCCCCATTAAATTTCTTAAGTTCGATTTTTGGCATTCGTACATATGAATTATCCTGCATAACAACTCTAGAATTAGCGGCAATATTAGCATGAGTCAGATTATGAGTTTCATTATCAAATAATTCGACAAAAACTGCTTTAATTTTGTAATATTCAGTTAAAAATCCCTCTTTTGTTGTATTTCCCCCCCACCCTCAACATCTTCCGGAATACTAAAGAGTACAGTTAGAATACTATTATGTTGTTTCCTAAAATCATGTTTTATTGCATCTAAATCAGTGCAACGTACGTGAATACGTAAAAAAAACTGCGAACTGCTTTGTCTGTTTTAAGGGGGTGTAACGTTAATTCGTCCAAAAAAGGCACATTTTTGTAAATTTTTTTTTGACGACACCGTTAAAATCTTTTTATTAAAACCAATGTTACATTAAAGTATAAGATTCAAAGAATATTGTGTCAAATTTTCATGAAGAAATATTAAAAAATACGGAAATGGCAGCAATTATTCGGAAGCGTTTCGGAAAAAAGTAGAATTGCGATGCCCCTCCTAACTCGGTGCTGGATCATCTGAAATAAAAAAAAAGTTATTTCGTTAGATAATCGTTTTCCCCAAGTAACGCTGGGAGGGTTTTTCGAAATTTCGTTTTTTCACTTTAAAGTGAAAAACGCGATTCTTAACGAAAATAATCGGCAATGAGGGGCACCGACTTTGGAAACGTAAGTTGTGGGAAAAACTCTTTAAAGTTTTGAACACTAAATTTGGAATAAAACGTTCATAGGCGAGATTTATCGGCTTACCTCACACTGAATCATCGATGCCAGGTCCATAAAGAATGTTGGTATCATCCATGATGTCTAAAGCATCTTTTTGCTCCTGTCTACGACGAATCCTCATTCTTGAGCGCTTGGTCTACTACTGATTCCCATGTCTTGCATGGAGGTTAGTAAAGCAAACGAAACCTGCCAATGCTACACTAAATTATATACAGTATAGGTATAAACACGTTTGTACTTGTGTTGAAATTTCTGTAAAAGAAAGGTAGAGAATAAGGTATAGAGAGCGAAAAAGCTGCCAGGTAACAATAGCGGGTTCGGGCCGGGCAGGTGTGATGCGCTGTCATTTATGAGGCGCGGTTGCTCAAACCGCTGTATCCTCGTTAGTTTTGCTCCGATTCATCTCAAATTTTCACACAATATTCTTGAAAGATTCTACATTCAGAAAATCAAATATAAAAAAGTTTAAAAACGTTACCCCTCTTTAACTTTATCAGCAAACAAACTAATAACATTAATTTCATTTAAAGCAGACGCTTTCCAAGTTTTGTATTTAGCGACTTTTTCAGTCATTCTAAATAGAAAATATTTAACTCGAATTCTAATTCGCAAAAAAAATTAGTCTAGTCAAAGCGAGCGTATTTTTAAATAAAAGTATCTACGATAGAAAAGAGATCAGGTAAACGACGAAAACTATAAGCGGTTTAAAATTCACAGTACGATGATATACCACACGAAGAGAGTAAATCGAAAAATTCAGTACAGAGCGCAATCGACGATGTCCAATAATTGCAAAACTGTGAGGCAGATAGGTACAGATAGATTGATAGATGGACATCGGTGAGGAAAATGACATAATGGGCGTGTACAGCTTAACTCTAAGATATGCGCAATTGAGACGGTGATATTCGCAAAGGTCGAGAGGAGAAATGAATGTAATTTTGTTTTACGATTTAACAAAAAGTAAAATATGTTCATTAGAATAGTCACCTTTTCACTAATGAATAAAATTATTATCCCTGAATATTTTAAATTTTAAGCAATACTTATTATTTTTTTATTAAGTACCTATTATAAGATCTTTTCAGCGTTAATAATTTAAAGCTAGTAGATACGTTATACTCCAATCGTGTATATATAGAAAAAAAAATGAAAAAAAATCTAGTTTTATACGTTATAATTATTTTAAAATCGTTTTATTTAAATAAAGGCAAGAAGGACCAAAAATGAGACAGAACGGATGTTATTCTGCCAAAAGGGCTGATTCAAATAATAAAAACTAAATAAATTAATAAATGTATTTGACACCTTACCTTAAATATCTGAATCGACGATCGAATTCGAACGGCACACAAGCCAAAAGTAAATTAACAGCGGTAGCAAGCGAACTATTTCGTTGGCGGTACATCGATATCTCCGTATCTTCGAAAACGTTCTCAAGCATGAACCTTTTCAAATAATAAGTTAAAGAAAACTCTTTTTACTTCATCCAAGCTTTCGGAAATTTATTAAATAATTTCCATCATTAGAGTAGACTACAAAATGTTGAAAAATAGTTACAATGAACCAAATTAAACTAAAGATTTTTCACTACATGTTGTAACAAATTGGTATATATTTTTCATAAAACAGTTTAAATTTATATATTATAAATTAAAATCACTAAGATTAAAGTTCTTTCTTTTCCAATTCCAATATACTCCGTTGTTAAATTTATAATGTATTTGTCAACTATTTGACATTGTCAAAAAATAAGCATTTTACTTATAAATATTGCAAAACATTTGAATGAAAGGAAAAAAAACAAAACAGAAAGAGTTCTTTTTAAAAATTAATTAAAATTTTTTTATAAATTCATTGTAAATTAACTTATTACAATGAGTCAAGAGATGACACAATATGTTAATTTCGTAACGGTTTGTCTTTTGATAAAATATTTTGGTAAATTTCACTAAGATGTGTCTGTTTTTTTGTTCATGTTTCAGGGTTTTGAGCTATAAATGTCATTTCTTGAAACTTTCTTTTTGCAAGGTTAGATTCAGTAATTAAAACTGTCGATGATTCCCAAGACATGTTATGTCCTTCATTTGAGACATGTATAGCAAGTACACATCTTTCCGGGTGTAGTCTATACTCACTCTTGTGTGATGTAATTCGATCTTTTAATCGTCTGCCCGTTTCTCCGAAATATAGTAAATCACAATTTGTACACTGTAAAGTGTAAACTGTATCCGATAGGAAAAGCTGAGGGGTTTTGTCTCTTTTTTTTTGTATAAAGAGCCTAACGTTAAAACATTTTTATTTGCAATTTTGATGTTATCTCTAGTATTCAAAATGTTCATCAGTTTAGGAGTAAGATCCTTTATGTACGGTAACGAAATATATCTTACACAATTACTGGCAAGACAGTGTATTTGTTGATGTTCCGGGAATTGGTTCATTTTGAATATCGTTGTTACATTATTAGCAATAACTATATTATTATTGATGTTATCGTTATTACCGTGGATTGCAACATCAGTGACAATACTACTAGAATTGAATAGGATTTTATCAATTAATTGTTTAGGATAGCCATTTTGTAAGAAAAGTGTTTTCAGGATGTTTAGGTTTCTTTGATGAAAATTGGTATCTGAGATCTGTAATACTCTACTTTTCATTTGTTTCACTAAGTTATTTTTCATTTGAAATGGGTGATGTGATTGTAGTTAATATATCTACCTGAACTATATGGTTTTCTATACCAATCAACTTTTAGCCTGTTACTAGAAGGCTCTCTGATGATTCTCGTGTCAATAAATGGAACTGAAAACCATCCTCTTTTTCGATGGTAAACTGTATGTGTGGATCGAAGCTGTTGAAAGTAAACAATACCTCATCAATACCTTCTGCGGGAAAGCTAACAAATATGTCAGCGACATATTTTTTCAAAAAATGTACGTTGAAGGATAAGACAGGTATGACTGTATCTAGAATATTGTCCATCACGTATGTTGCAATAATTGGGGATATACTCGCCCCAATTGGAGTACCAAAAGTTTGTTCGTAAAATTTGTTATCAAAAGAGAAATAAATGCTGTTAAATAAAAAAAGTTATTATTTCAATGAAAGTATCATAGTCAATATTACAGAATTATTAATTTTTTTGCCAATTAACTGTAATTGTTCTTATGGCTGCAACAAGATAAACATAACTAAATAAAGGGACCACATCTAAACTCGCTATTATATACCCTGGTGGTAATTGTATATTATTGAATAATTTAGCTACTTCAAAAGAGTCTTTTATGTAGTAATCATTGCTATATTCATAAGATTTAGTTAAAATGTCAGTCATATATGTACCTAAAAATTCTGTAGAAGCTCCAATACAAGAAACAGTTACCGATAAAGTAGGTTTGTGAATTTTCGGCAAGGCATAAAATTTAGGAGAGACACCATTATAGCGAGTAAGTGATTTTTTCGTTCTTTCATCAATAAAACCTTTTTCTTTTAGACGTTTAATTAATGTATTATTATTTCTTGCAATATTTTGTGTGGGATCTTTATTAATTTGTTGATATGATTTTATTTGGTAGTTATAAATACTGTTGTTTTTCCATAACTACTGTTATATTGCCTTTGTCCGAAGTAGTTACGAAAATATCAGGATGATTTGGTTTTAGTGAAGAGATGTTCAATTTTTTTTTTTAATATTAATATTTATTGTTCTGTTAACATGGTTAGTTATTATATTTGTTACTCGAGCTATAACAATGTTTTTTTTTATTTGGATCAGCAATAATAATTGATGTGGCATAATCTACCTCTGCTAGAAAGTTTGTAATGGGTATATCTCAATAATTTTGGCTCTAAGCTAAATTTAGAACCTAAGGCTAAAATGTCCATTATGTCATTAGGAATATTCACATTTTAAGATTTTTAACCCAGTGTGGTTGGGTAACAATCTTATCCTCTATTTGTTTATCTTTTAATTTACTGATGTTTTTAATTTTTACTCTATAGAACAATTTATTGTATTGTCTTTGTTGCTTAGCTACAAAATTATTGAAAGTAGTATTAGTATTCGAAATTATGTCATTCTTGAGTCCATGTAAGGATTTTTTTATTTTTTCAATTATTTTATGCGTGTTAGAAATTTCAATATTTATAAGTTTGTTTCATAACCTGTATGCTTGTCTTGTCGTAGTTCCATCCTGTATATCTTGTCTTAACAATAAATTATGTACTGATTTAATAGTTGAGTCTATGTGATTTGGAAGTATATTGTGTCTTTTGCATTGTAGTAGGAATATTCTTCTGTTGTATTCATGCGCTAGTTTCATATTTGCTTTTGACCATTTTTATTGACTTTGAATGTTTAATGAAAAATATATACCAATTTGTTATTACATGTAGTGGACAATCTTAATTTATTGTAAGTAGTTAACTTTAGTTTAATTTGGTCCATTGTAACCATTTTCCAACATTATTTTGATGATGAAAATGATTAAATAAATTTCCGAAAGCTTGGATGAAGTAAAGAGTTTTCTTTAACATATTATTTGCTGAATTCCCTAATAATTGGTTGGTTTTCTAACTAGTCAGCAACGACTACCCTTCAGTTCATACTTTAACAACTACGTAAATGCAGTGTCGGATTGGGACCTCCAGGGCCTACTGGTCAGGAAGGAGAAGGGCCCACCTGCCTGAACGAAGTCCCACTGCTTGAACGAGGCCCTATCCGACACTGCGTAAATGTTTGCAATTTTGTAAACAAAATTTTGTCTATTAATTGTTCATCCTTGAAATTAACATAAAATTCATATGGTCTGCTATGAGAATTGAGCCATGCCATCTCCACTATAATGCCAGTAACTGAATACATTGGACTACCCATGTGTATATTTTTTGTTTACTTTTCTATTTGGACTAACTTATATTGTAAATTATTGTATCTATAATTATTATTAGTGTATTAAAGTATATAAATTTGGTAAAAATGTATCATTCAACAAGAACTAATATAAGGAACATTACAAGAAGTAATAAAAGGTATATCCAGATTCAGAAGTATGTATATCAGTCCCCATCTTGCTATTTCACTACAGTTCACCCTTATACTGTCTTATCACAGATAATCGCCTAATGGCCTAATTAATATTTAGTAACTCATTGACTGTCTACAGAATTAAATAATACTTAAAAAACTCATTGGTAAGTGTGCCTTAAATGGGTTCTTTGAGGGAAGTAGAGGGAATATTGAAGTCTGTACCGTGTACTCATATTTTTGTTCCTCTGATACTATTATGTTGCTTTATGTCCTCTTTAAATTAAACTTGCACTGAATCTGTATAACATCAGAATTATGAAATAATAAATATCTACCTAATATAATTCGAAATGTTTGTTTGCTTTTAGTGAGAAGGATATAGATGAAGTACTACAAACTCACACTGTATTCGCAAATGTTTCAAAAGGACAAGTAGCAAAAAAGGAGGATTTGATAAAAGCTTTTGGAAAAGATGACCAAACTGAAATATGTAAAGAAATTTTAGCAAAAGGAGAGTTACAAGTTTCAGATAAAGAAAGGCAAAGTCAAACTGATCAACTTTTTAAGGATATTGCAACCACTGTAGCTGATAAATGCTTAAATCCAGAAATTAAAAGGCCATATCCAGTTACTATTATTGAGAAAGCTATGAAAGATGTACATTATTCTGTGAAACCTAATCAATCTGCTAAACAGCAAGCATTACAAGTAATTAAACTTATTAAAGAATCAATTCCTATAGAAAGAGCTAAGATGAGACTAAAAGTTAATTTTAAGGGAAAAGCTGCAAAGAAAATAAGAGATAAAATAAGTAAAATAGAGAGCACAGAAGTTGAAAAAGAAGATAGAGAAGAAGATGAAATTACTATTGTTTTTCTGGTAGATCCAGGCCATTTTAAAGAAATTGATTCTATGGTCAAAGCGGAAAGTAAAGGAACAGCTTTATTGGAAGTTATGTCTTACAAAGAAATGGTTTTAGGAGAAGAGCATTTTTGATGAACATTTTCAATTATCATGGTCATTGTAATAGGCCATATTCATTCAGATGGTTGTTTATGTAATGATGCTTTACTTACTATTATATTTATTTAACTTACCAACTAATAAAATTGTCAAAATATAAATTCCAGCTATAACATTTTATTTATTTCTCTTAATATTCATAAATGTTACAATTGAACAAACATTGTTAGGAATTAAAATAAAAATACAGATGATCTAATAATTTTAAATTAGGTAATACAAAGCAATTTATATAACAAAGTTACATCTACAGTCCTAATAAAAAATCTAAAAACAATTTTAACATACCAATTTTTAAATGTTTTTGACAAGTAGATTGGCTTTATTTAAACATTTTATTTACAGTATATACATAATGAAAAATTAATATTTAGCAGAAGTTCATTTAATCAATAAAATATCCTTAAAAAATAATCAGTTCAAATCTAATTTTTAACTTTAAAAATCACAATAACACATTACTTAGCTAATTTAGATGTGATAGGGTTTCACCTAATAATGATGAAACTTTACAATCACGATGAATTCATAAAAATTGAACACATCTACTTTGACCAGTAAACTATAATCTACTCGTTTTATTAATATTTAAATGTAGCTCATTATTTTCACATTTCTTTGAAAACATACCAAACCTTTTATAGTAGGAGGATACTTCAACGCACATAATATCTCAAATTGACGATACATATGGAAAAAATCTGTTTAACGCTATTGATCACTGAATTAATAATTTTAAATAATGGTTCACCCACACTCACTAAATACCCTCTCTGATATTGATCTGACCATCTGCTCTCGGGATGTAAGTTTTCTAACCTGGAATGCCTTCGAGGAACTGCGGGTATCTAACCACCTACCCATCATCGTTACAGTGAAATTCAATTACACACCTAGACATACATATTCCTCAAAGTAAACATAAATATGAAATCTCAAAAGAGCCAACTAGGGTCTATATATATTTGAAACTACGTTGTGTTTGGTGCCATATCGTCTTTTGTTTTGATATGGGATTTTAGGGAAGTTGAAACACCTGTAAGTAATAATTGTCTTTCATCGTGACCCAAGTTGTTAATAAAAAAAACTTCACAATTGACAGATTCTTTGAAAGGTTTAAAAATTAAATAGAAATGTTTGGGATCTGTTACTTAAACCTCCGCACACACACTGGGGTATGATCTTAGATTATACAAACCTTAGATGGAACATAAGACACTGCGCATAATCCCATTTCAAAATGATTCACACCCACCAATCACAGTTGAGAACATCACATGTCAGACCGTTGTCCATCCAAATTTAATTGCCGCGTTTGAGAATCCACCTCGGATGCATCTGAGATGTAGTAAATCTTTGATCACGTGATTCAGTATACGTAAATGTAATGGGACAGATGTGTCCGATGTGGATAAAAAAACGCTCGAGATGTAAAAAATGCATCCGATGTGGATTCTCAAACGCAGCAAATGTAGGCCAGTTCGGATAGTCAGGGGCTGGAGCGGGACAAATTTTAGGGTGCTTTTAAATGACATTTAAGCGTGTTAAACTGTCACTAATCGGACTAAACCGAACGCTAAAAGGGTCGTTTGGAGTTAAAAGTGGTAAAGGAGTTAAAGGAACTTGGCAGACCGAACGCAATGACTGTCAACGAGAATTAATTTGGTATTTTAGTGACTTAAATTTTGGAAATTAACGTTGAAAATGCCAAGATGTGTTGTAAAAAGCTTTATTTATAATAAACCTGCGAAATGTGACGGAGATAAAAGATACTTATATTTATTTCGGTGAGATATTTAATTTTTAAAGATTCTGTCGACGTCCATATTTGTTGATTTGAAAATAAACAGAATCGGACTTGGTCATTGGTACATGTTATAAGTAGCAAATAAAGGTTATTTTATTATAAACTGTTTACTATTTATTGTTTCATAGGGAATCTTTTTTTAGGAAGTGAAAAGAGAAACATACAATCAAATACAAAAATATCAATTTCATTGCCAATTTATTCGTTTCAAACTTCACAACTGGTTTTAATAGTTTTCTCAAAACTATTTATTTAGTAATTCTCTATAACAGTGTTACTCTAAGTGTAAAGCCAAAGTTTCCGCGAAGAAAATAATCACAATAAAAAAACAGTACTATCGCCACAAAATGGAGGGACCTGGCTTGAGGACCGTTTTTTGGGGAAGTAATTTTTTTAAGTCACTAACAGGAAGGAGGATATGATTTTGCTTTAGGACTTTTTTTTATTTAATTTTTTATGGGTGAAATGGATTTGGGATAATTTTTGCAAGGAATCTTTGGAATAAATCAAAAATAAATGATGCTCTTGTACATTTTCAGCCGATTAAATTATTCGTAGATGCATCAAATGTGGGAATAAGGGCCATGATGTCATGTTTTAAAAAAAAAAAAATATTGAGAAATCTATAGCTTCTGCTTATCAAAGTCCGAACAAAAATATTCCCAAATTGAAAGAGAGGTCCTTGCATTAATTTTTGGCTTAAATAAATTTAATGAATATTTATATGGACATTTGCATAAAGTAGAACATTATGCAACTGATTACGAAAAGTTGATTATGTCACCAGTTACGAAATGAAAATAAATAAAACTGCCTCTTTTTTGGTTTCTAAGTTGAAAAATCGTAAAATCGAGAAATCGAGTAATCGAAAAATCTAATAATAAAAAATCGAAAAATCCAAAAAACGAAAAATCGAAAAACCAAATATCGAAAAAGAGGCAATGAATAGTGACATTTCACATTTGAAAATATGACATTACGTTTAAAAACAAAAAAGAAAACAAAAAAAGAGAAGCTGTAAATTGCGTTTAATTAATTTTTAAAATAACACCGTTATTGAAAACTGCCCAGAAATGTTGGGGGTAAAATTTTGACGTACATCTTTAAGGATAATGGGTAAAAATGTTTTTTTTTTCAAATTTCTCGCGGGTAATGTCAAAAATTAGATCGGCAACACTGCACATGTCCCTTATTTTTATTATTACTATTGAAAAAAAAAAACGTCGTAGGGCAATCAAATACAACAATTTTCTAAAATATTTGATTGGAAGTACCTACACAAGAATGATGGTGAATCATTTTTCAACACAATTTTATAAATAATCAAGTCAAAATTAGAAAAAATCTTGTATATAAACACGTTACGAAATGCCGTTTTGTGTAAGTCGTTCATGTTGCGGGAACTCGCTCCGCTCGTTTTGCAAATATTTACTCGTTACACAAAATAAGGCATTTCGTAACTGGTTACATAAATAACTATTAATTGACTTTCTAATATTCATTGGACGGAATTTTCCAGGATATAAGGGAGCGTTCAAGTATTTCGTAACGAATTTGGGGGGAGGGGGGTTTTGTAAAACGTTATGATGCGTTACAGGGGCTGGAGGGGGGTTTGAACTACGCGTTACGTAACATTATTATTTTTTAATTCAGAAAAGTCGCGTAGAGAGATTATCTCACGCATTCTTTAAAACGTTTTTTCTCAAAATTTCAAATGGAGTGACATAATTGTGATTTTTAGGTAAAAATAGTCACTTTGTGGTTACGTAACGTTAAACTAGGGGGGGGGAGGGGTACAGAAAAACGTTACGGCGCGTTACATGGGGGGAGGGAGGGTTAAAAATCTCCAAAAATTGCGTTACGTAATACTTGAACATTTTTTTCTCTTAGAACAGTAGGCCTATGTCAAATAAACTTAAATTAAAATATTATAACGAACGAAAAGGTAACCCATTTCTAATAAAATTTAGTTATTTATTATATTTTGGTGTGATCGTAGCAAAAATCTTGTGTGTAATTCGAGCAAAAAGTACTTATAAACTTTTACTTAGGGTCGATTTCACCGTTTTATTAAACGAAGTTTAAAATACTAAACGAAGATTAAAATGACATTTTTATATTAACAAAAACGAAGTTTAAATTACTAAATGGAGTTTAAAATGACATTTTTATATTAACAATGTCATCTTCGTTTAATAATTTGAACTTCGTTTGACACAACGGTGGAATCGGCCCTTAGCTAGTAATATATTGATAAAGTGTTATTGCCCTCATCATACATGAATCGTGCTAACAAATAAAGTCAAACAAACGTCTCATAATTTTTCATCTTTTAATTACCCACCAAAATTAGGTACTACAATACAAATATTTAAGTCCGGCCCAGAACACCTCCCTACTCCTTCCACCCAGTTTTTCGGTTTTGGCAAAATTCGCGCAGCGAGAAATGCTTCCTATATTACCTCTACCCTTTCTAACCTCTTTGGGTATGATATACCCGAGCCAAGTTTTGTACAAATGATATTTATCTTCAAATTTGGAAGTAATACTGCTGGTGTAAATTCAGTTAGTTTTCACGATTCTGTAAGGGATGGTCAATCTATAGAAGGGCGGCTCCAGGAGAGGGCCATGGCCAACATTTTTTTATAATCTAGGAGCCTTTTACTAAAAACAAATTGCTAAATAGGGAATTGTTATTGGCAATCCCCCCCTCGAAAACTCGGTATGGAGCCACCCTTGAGTCTGTCTATACCTATCAAAATAATAGGTCGGGTATCTTACACCCCGCCAGTGTGTGGTTGCTGAACTGTTAAGAATTTTGTTTTTTGGCGGTAGGCTTGAAGTAGTGGTAAGTTATACATTTTCAAATTACATATGGTATTGTGTTGACATGGTATTTTATTTTTACATAAAAATGGTTTCCACATCTTTCCCTTTGAGCGAGATACAATTAGAACACTTTTTTCTTGAATCTTCCTATGAAAAGATCGAAAATGAAATATTTTGCAGTGAAAATTCTGATAAGGATGTGAATTATGTTGAAATTCAACCTGATGCAATTGAGCAAAGTAGCGAGGAGAAAACTGAAGAAAGACCTCTAAAGGCTAAGAGGTTAGCAATCTTAAACTGAAAAAGCGAAAATCTTGGAAGATGTCAAAGATGAAATTTGGTTACCCATTTTGTATGTGTGCTGCGTTTGAATATCTACATCGGATGCATCTGAGGTGAATTTTTTATCTCGTGATAGAGGATTAGTTATAAATGTAGATGTAATAAACGAACGCTCTAGACTTTATTGGTCACGTGATAAAATGACAAGTTAGAAGTTTATACTTTTTAAATTTGAGTTTTGAGACTAGAAATGAACCTAAATTTGAAATCTAAACAAAAATTAAACAAACTAATCACTTTTATATTCACGCTAGCATAAACAAAGGATAAATCGATAAACTTGGCTTTACAGAATACCTACTTTCTGGCATGGAACGAACATCTCATTTCATATGTAAAAAATGTAATCTGGGCAGCTACATCTCGGATAAACAAACGCAGATGTAGAAGTAGTAGATGTGCCCCGATGTGAATAAACGCTCGAGATGTAAAAAATGCATCGGATGTGGATATTCAAACGCGGAAATAGTAACTGTGTTTCTCAAAGTGTGCTCCACGAAAATAATAGTCATAATAAAAAATACTAAAGGAATACTATGAGGAAGTTCGTTACAAAAGGGAGGATCTGGTTTAAGATTTTTTTAAGGTTTCACTAAGGATCTGATTTTTTTTAGAAATGCCAAAAGGATTCAGTCGCCAAAAAAAATTGAGAAACGCTGGTTTAACTAAATAAATAGGTTCATTTAGATTAAATTTAATATTTTCATTTGTAACACGAAATTTGTTTTACAAATTATTTGTTACCTTTTTAAGTCAATAAAATAGCATTTGAGTCATTAGGTTTTTAATTTTAAATGCACATGTTCATTGGGATGTAAAAGTTACCATCAAAAAATAGTTTTGCTTTTTAAGTTCAATTATGTATAAATAAGCTTGTAGTGGCGTATACCCCAGTGTGTCTTTTTGTAAAAAAATAAGTGTGGGAATGGAGGTTAAAAATGATATGATCCACACCAGAATAAGGACAGATAATACCTAAAAAAAGTAATTTTGAAAGCTGGAAAGCATGAAAACTCAATAAAAATTCTCAAAAACCTTCAGCATACATTTTGTTTTTTGTCCGATTTGGTAAATGCAACTGACCAGTGTAATGCGTTAATCTTTTCAATTTATTTTTAATTCTTTACATTAAAATTTACCAATAAACATGAGTGATTTAGCAGTTTTTAATTTATTTGTATTTGATATTTACAATCTTATGGCCATTGACGTAATTATAAATAAATGCAATCTACAAATTAGTAGTAACAAAAATGTTGAAATGTTTATTTTATCATTTATATCAATTTTAATTTAGAAGTTTCGGTAATATTTAATTTTAAATATAAAAATAACATTTGTCCATTACCTTAAATAAAATGCAAAGATATGAAAGACAAACTTTCCTTTGACCTTTGAAAAACTGAAAAAGAATTTTTTAATTAAAATAAAAATATTTTATCAGTATGCAAAAAAGGATTAGTATCTTATTTCAACAATAAAAAAAATACTAATAACAGCACATTTTTGTATTACATTTTTAGTTTTTCAAAGTTCAAAATAAAGTTTCAAACAAAAAACAGATCATGGCAATCGCTATACAGAACACATTATGAACAATATTCAAAGCAAAAATCTTAAAAATATACCTACTAAACTTGGGATTAATTTTATTTACTGTGCTTGAATAGTTTGGTCTTGTTTGGGAATATAAATACTCTCAGCTCTTTGGTCATGTTTGGCAGCTATTCGAGACACTGTAAACAAAAAATCAGACAAGCGATTTAAATAAATTTGAGCCTCCTTATCTAAACATCCTTGTCGCACTAGTGGTACTATTACTCTTTCAGTTTTTCTACAAATTGCTCTTGCTACATGTAGAGAGGCACTTGCTACTCCTCCTCCCTAAAATAGAAAAACAATAACACTGAGAAAGTTATTAATGCCTGTAACTAATTTTAAAAGCTACTGTAGCCTAGGTAAAAACAATAGATGATTTCAACGGAAGACATCTTGAAGTTGCAAGGTCATTGGAAGATAAGTTTACATAACAACTAATACAATAAAAAAGAAAACTATAAATTATTATTTTTGCAAGCTGTTTAAGGTTACGGCGTCGGTATTTATTTTTTTCTTTGTCTTCATAGTTTTATGTGTATGTGGTCTTAAACCTAATATAAAACCATATTTTATCAGTCGTATACAAGGTTTGTCAAAAATAAAGGTACTTATAATTAGTCTTGAACAAAATTTATATTTTTTGATGGACCACGACTCAAAAATTTAATATCTGATGGTTGTATTTTCAGCTTTAGACCATGCAGAACTTTTTATAAGGAATACCTTTTTTCTATAAAACTAACACTAAAAAAAGTTTCCCATGTATGGAGTGCCGACTTAAATTGGACACATTGTATTTAACTTTTCTTTCAATTACCCTAATAAGGTAAGTCCATGCTAAGCGATGGTTTTCTATACAGACCTATACCTATGTAGATTATTTCATATATTTTGGTTATTCTATACAAACTATTGTACACCCTTGTAAGATTTTAGAGGATGAATTAAATAATATTTATTTTACATACACATATTTTTTATATCTTCATTGTCAACAAAAATACTGAAAAAATTAAAACCGTTTTGTTGGGTAATGCAGGCGACACCCATTAAGAAAGGTTTTAATTTAATAAAAATCAGCCATAAAGACCTAACGCGCGCTTAGCAAGCCATGTAGATTTAGGTCCGTATTTATAAACAGAACTTACCTGAATCGGACTTGGGTAAGTCGTCCTTGAACTAAAATCGAAGTTCGGTTACAACGTCTCTAAAGTTCTAGGTGGCTCTGGTGTTAAACTGGAATTTAGAGATGGATATTAGCAAATCTGTAGCTGTTATGTACATTTACGGATTTGTTACTACCCATCTCTAAATTCACGCGATATAACCGAACTTCGATTTTAGTTCAAGAATGACTTACCCAAGTCCGACTCTTATAAATACGGATCCTAGATTCCAGATCATGGCGATAGTGAGAGTGAAAGCTGAGCCCATACAATTAAAGAAGAAGGCACGAAAAAAAGAAGAAATTTATGTTGACGCCGCCGTAACTTTAGACAAATTGCCAAAATAATAATTTAGTTTTCTTTTTTATTTTATTAGTTGTTATGTAAACTTATAGATGGCACAAAGATCTTCCAATGACCTTGCAACTTCAAGATGTCTTCCGTTGAAATCATCTATTATTGAATTATTGTTTAAGCCCTAGTTTCACTGATAACCTTACTGGTATGATATATTGTTCAGGAGCTGGTAGTTGTTTAGAATATTCCTGTATCCAATCCTCTAGTTCTTTTGTATATGTTGGTGAAATAGCTGTATTGGTGCAAGATTTGGATATTGCTGTGCTTAAGTCAATAATTATTGTTTGAATTCTTTTTAATTTGTCTGTATACTGTTGCTCAGATTCATTTGCATGTTCACGTGCTAAGCTGTAAGAATTAAAATATATTTTATGGAGCAAAGTTGGGTTGTAAAGAGGAATGATTTGAAGAAATTAACACCTCCCTTTTACCATTTTACAAATTTAATATGCTTGCTTAGGGTGATTTTTTTCTTCGACTATTTTTTTTATTTTCACTCCTGTCCTGAAATTTTGTTGAAAATGCCCCCAAAAAAATTCCCTGAAAGTTTGAGCCCTTAATATTAAGTCCTCGACCAAGGCGTGCAAAGATTTTCCATTTCAAATACACGTAAAATTAGAGTTTTTTTCTTCAGATTTCTATGGCTTAGCGTCATTTCATGGTATTATTTCGACCGTAGACATGTATTTCTCCAAATTGAACGCTCTACAAAAGTGTCTATTGCGACGATGTCGTAACTCACATCGGCGAGGAAGTACGGGTCACTAAATCGAACTTTTTCATGAAATTCACATTATTTCGACCCTATGTCATAATTGAGAAGAGTTACAGAAAAAATGACAAAGTTGTAGGATATTTAATTTACTACAAAAAAATGTCCTGAGAACCAAATCGCTAAGATCAATATTTGTCGAGATTCGAGATATTAAGCCTTAAATTAATTTTTCTGTAAAATTTTTGCCGATTATTGACTGAAACTTTTTGAACTCATGTTTTTTTTTTGTATTATCAGACTTTTTGTTCAATATATTTTTTTTAAGTTAGAATACTAGAATATGATTAATATCTTACATCGTTAAAGCTCATATTTGAAGAATCTTTAACAAATAAAGGATTTACTGGTTCCTGCATAAAACATACAAATACAATTACTTTTATATAATTTATATATTACTAACATTTATTAAATTATAATAGTTTGAATTATATTAACAACAATAAATTATTTATGAAAATAGAAACAATACCAATAAATTATTATTGAAAGTAGAAAAATTAATAGTTACATTGATTCATTGTTAATATATTGTGATTTTTTATACGATGTGTATTGAGAGCGATAACGCTGAACAGTTTGAAAAATGTTTTGTCTCTCAACTTCGTTATGAGTTAATACTTCATTAACACTTTCGGCTAGTGCTACTCCCCTTTCTGCAGTATCGTTAACCACTTTTAACATTTTAAATGTATCATAATACAAAAAAAAACCAAGATTTCAAAAAGTTTCAGTCAATAATCGGCAAACATTTTACAGTAAAATTAATTCAAGGCTTAACATCTCGAATCTCGACAAATATTGATCTTAGCGATTTGGTTCTTAGGACATTTTTGTAGTAAATTAAATATCCTACAAGTTTGTCATTTACATTTTTTCTGTAATTCTTCAATTATGACAGGGTCGAAATAACGTGAATTTCATAACCAATTTCGATTTAGTGACCCGTACTACCTCGCCGAGTTACGACATCGCCGCAATAGAAACTTTTGTAGAGCATTCAATTTAGAGAAATACATGTCTATGATCGAAATACCGCTAAACTATAGAAATCTGAAGAAAAAAACCCTAATTTTACGTGTATTTTAAATGGAAAATCTTTGCACGCCTTGGAGGACTTAATATTAATATTAAGGGCTCAAACTTTCAGGGAATTTTTTTTGGGGCATTTTCAACAAAATTTCAGGACGGGACAGAAAATAAAAAATAGTCAAAAAAATCACCCTAAATTGCTTGCTATAACAAATTGGTGCCGGGAAAAATCTGACTACCACAAATAATAAAAATTTTACATCAATAAAAAAAAAACCTCTAGTGAAAACTGGGTTGCAGAAAACCACATTAAATTTACTAGGTATAACAAAATTATGGTTAAAGACATGTTTTATAAGCAACAATTATTATGTCAAATTAATTGTCAGCAAATATTTTGTAGTTATTGTGAATAAATATAATTAAAAATGAATGATTCTTGTGAAGAATCGATAAATAATAGCATTCCACAAGATATTCGTCTATATTTAAAAATTAATCGTAAAATTTAATGAAACTTAAACCAATACGGGGAAAGCAGGGGAATACAAAATAGACCTAAGATGCCAAAGTGTTATTTCCCCTTCGGGCAATACGGCCACTTTCGTTGCACAAAATACTATTTTTTAATTATTGTTTTGGGTAAATCAAATTAACTTTAATAATATTTTCGGGATCAACGAATTATAATGAGATTATACATTATTTTTGGTTGAATCTAAAAAGAAAACTAAAAATATTCCCTGTATTTAAAGGACTATACCAAAAATAACAAGTATTTAACTTCTGTTAATATATTTTAATTAGTTCCCAGCTAGCACAGGACGTCCTAAGGACGTCCATTAAATGTCCATTTAACGTCTGTACGTCCAGGACCAATTATGGACGTTTTAAGTATGTCCAATTTAGTAAATTCTCGGGACGTCAAGAAATAGATATCCGCAGAACGTTAATTTTACGTGCATTACTGTATTTCCATGGATTCACATTCGCATTGCATTATTATTTGGTTATATTATATAAAAAACATATATAATGAGATAATATAAATAATTATTAAAGATAACATTGTCCCAATATCCAATTGAAAAAAGGTCAAATAGACAAAAACGAAGAAGGTCATTTACAAGAAAGAGACATTGTTGACAAGTGTCATTTTATTTTTTATCTATTAAAGATTCTAGCACTGAAATATTCTCAAGACTCGTTTTATATAAAAAAAAAAGAAAAAACATGTGTTTAATGTTCATGATTCGATGGTATATACATATTTTACGAGTACAAGTTCTATCATCCCGCCATTTGACTGTGATTCGACTCTATTAAACCAAATTACGATATCTTCATTACTTATACAGGGTGTAACAAAAAGTTGTATAGTATATTAAACCGAAGTTTCTCGGATCGAAAATAAGCCGATTTAATGTAACTTGATTATATAAAAAAGAATATTAAAAAAATTACAGGGTGTTAAAGTAAAAATTTTAAAAGTGATTTTTTACTCTTACACTAAAACGGTTTAAAATATTTTTATGACTTTTCTACTCAAAATATGGTAAAAACATACAAAATAAAAAATTTAAAAAATGGAAGTATTTTCAAGCGAGTGTTTGGTTTAAAATATTTTCGATCTTTTAAATCGTTTAAATTTTAGCTATGAAACTGACATTACATACTTGAAACCAAAGCTAAAATCGTTGAACCAGTCAGCGGCATATGAGCTGTTTTTTAGCCACCAAACGGGTTTAAAATAAATTTTAAACTACCTATATTTAAAGTGACTTCATTAATTAATAGATGACAAAAATTGGGTGTAGGTGTAATAGCGGTTCCGCTAAAAAAAAGTATAGTACCGAATTATATACAATCTATAGAATGTTTTGTCAATTTTTTTTAAACATCGGTGATTTCTGTATATACTCAATACAATAAAGAACCGGCGGCAACACAAACTTTTCAAAGATATGGAGTCATACGAAAAGTAAATAAATAAACGAAAGACGAATTCTTGAAAAATTTAACGGCGTCACACGAATAAAAAAATAAAGAATAAAAAAGAAATATTTGGAAAAATAAAAATAAATCATAACTAAAAAAATCAGCAATGAGACACGATCGGAACTAAAACAATAATTAAAGCCTATATCCTACTATTTACAGTAAAAACTTCAACTTCCCAAATATACTTCGTCATGTGAATAAAAAAAAATAAAGAGAAAAAGGTGAATTATTGGAAAAATTAAAATAAATCATAACTTAAAAAATCAGCTTTGAGACACGATCGGACCTACTACAATAAATTAAGCCGTTGTCCTACTATTTACAGTAAAAATTTTAACTTCCCAAATATACGGCGTCATATGAATAAAAAAAAATAAAGAGAAAAAGGTGAATTCTTGGAAAAATTAAAATAAATCATAACTTAAAAAATCAGCTTTAAGATACGATCGGACCTAGTACAATAAATTAAGCCATTGTCCTACTATTTACAGTAAAAATTTTAACTTCCCAAATATACGGCGTCATACGAATACAAAATTAGGAAAAAAAAAGATGCATTTTTGGAAAAATTAAAATAAATCATAACTTCAAAAATCAGCTTTAAGACACGATCGGAACTAGTACAATAATTAAAGCCCTTATCCTACTATTTACAGTAGAAGTTTCAACTTTCCAAATATACGGCGTCATACGAATAAAAAAATAAAGAGTAAAAAAGAGGAATTTTTGTAAATATTATATTAAATTATAACTTCAAAAATCAGCTTTGAGACACGATCGAAAATAGTACAATAAATAAAGCCATTGTCTTACTATTTACAGTAAAAATTTAAACTTCCCAAATATACGGCGTCATACGAATAAAAAATTAAGAAAAAAAAAGATGCATTTTTGGAAAAATTAAAATAATTCATAACTTCAAAAATCAGCTTTGATACACGATCGGAACTAGTACAATAATTAAAGCCTTAATCCTACTATTTACAGTAAAAACTTCAACTTCCCAAATATACGGCGTCATGTGAATAAAAAAAAATTAAGAGAAAAAGGTGAATTATTGGAAAAATTAAAATAAATCATAACTTCAAAAATCAGCTTTGAGACACGATCGGAACTAGTACAATAATTAAAGCCTTAATCCTATTTACAGTAAAAGTTTCAACTTTCCAAATATACGGCGTCATTCGAATAAAAAAATAAAGAGTAAAAAAGAGGAATTTTTGAAAATATTATATTAAATTATAACTTCAAAAATCAGCTTTGAGACACGATCGGAAATAGTACAATAAATAAAGCCATTGTCCTACTATTTACAGTAAAAATTTTAACTTCCCACATATACCGCGCCATACGAATACAAAATTAAAAAAAAAAAAAAACATTTTTGGAAAAATTAAAATAAATCATAACTTCAAAAATCAGCTTTGAGACACGATCGGAACTAGTACAGTAAATAAAGCCATTGTCCTACTATTTACAGTAAAAAATTTAACTTCCCAAATATACGGCGTCATACGAATAGAAAATTAGGAAAAAAAAG